CCTGCAGGAAGTTTCTTAGCCACCTGGGGTGCTGTTCCTCTGAACCAGGTCTGGCCTTGCCCTTTGGCAAGTTCCTTCTCTACAGGGAAGGTTTTGTGTTACTGTGGCAGGAGAACCCATGCACTGAGGTGTGAATCTCAGTAGAGGCTTCTTTTCTTCTACGTTCTTAATTCATTATTTTCTTATTTTCCCTCTGTTTAATGGTGGTAGCAGCATTCTGCAATTCCTAATTTTGGACACCTTAGACAGCAGAAGTCACATATGTAATTCTAAATTTTCTAACAGCCACACTGAAAACAGTAAAAAGAAACAGATGAAGTTAATTTTAATAATGTATTTTATTTTAAAAAATACATATTTTTATTTAATGCAGTATATCAAAATATTTTCCTTGCAATATTAAATTATTAAAATTTTAAGCTATTTTAACCTCTTTTTAATATGAAGTCTTTGAAATCCAGTGTGTATTTTGTTCTTTCAGCACATCTCTGTTCCAACGAGCTACATTTCAAGTGCTCAGAAGCCACTTCTGTGGCTAGTGACACCATACTGGATAGTGTAGCCTTAACTCCTCTTTTACTCCTTCTTTTACTCCTTGTCATCATCGATCAGCTTTACTTGCTAATAATTCTTTACGTTTATATTCAGATTGCTGATGTGGTTTCTGTTTCCTGACTGAACCCTGATTGATTCAGTCAGCAAAGCCAAAAGCTGGGTCTTTGAAAAGATTAAATTGATAAACTGCTAGCAATATTGATCAGGGTAAAAAAGGGAAAAAATCACTTTTATCCAGAATAAAAAGGAGGATATTACTAGAGAGTCTCTAAATTTTTAAAAGCATAATAAAGGATGTTATAAATATAATGCTAATAAATTATTCAACTAAAATGAAAATTTTCTTAAGTACAAGTTATAAAATTCTCAGAAGAAAAGAAAAACGTGAATAACGCTATATCTCTTCAAGAAACTGAATTTATGATTGAAAACCTTCCCATAAATAAAATTCAAGGCCCAAGAAGGCTTTAGTTGTGAATTCTATCACATATTTGAGAGAGTAATCATACCAGTTTTATAACACTTTTCAGAAAACTTAGGAAAATGTTGGGAACACTTCCCCAAAACACTTATTTTATGAGGCCAACTTAACTCTAATACCATACTCTACTAGTAAAACTGGTGAAGAAATTTTAAGGAAAAAAAAATAACCAAATGTCCCCCCAGAAACAGGCTCAGATACCCTTAAAAATATATTAACAAATTAAAATTAGCAATATTTAGTTTAGCCCCGGAATACCAAGTTGGTTCAACATTATAAAAATCAATTAAGGTGAACCTTCCTGTTAATAGAATATAGGAAGAGCTGTTACAGTTATCTCAATAGATGAAGAAAGAGCATTGGACATAATTCAACATCAATTTATGATTTAAAAAACTTTAACCAAACTAGCAATAGAAAACTGGTAAATGTTAATTCGATAAAAGTTGTTACTTTAAAACATAGCTAATGTCATTCTTAATGGCAAAATAGTGAGTGCTTTCCACCTAAAATCAGGAGAAAAGCAAGGATATAAAGTTTTATCACTAACTGAAAGTCTTGCCAGCGTAATTGGGAAAGAAAAAGAGTAGTTAATTAGCTTATCAGCTTACCGGAATTCCCATGTTCTCTATCATAGCATTCTGTTTTTTTCTGATGGTTGTTTTGTATTTACTTTTTATTTATTTATTTATTTTTAAAAATATTTATTTATTTGACAGAAAAAGAGAGACAGTGAGAGCAGGTACGCAAGCAGGGGGAGTGGGAGAGGGAAAGCAGACTTCCTGCTGAGCAGGGGACCTGACGTGGGGCTCAATCCCAGGACCCTGGGATCATGACGCAAGCTGAAGTCAGATGCTTAATGACTGAGCCACCCAGGCACCCCGTGTATTTACTTTTTAAATTACCTCTGTGTTGCTAGTTTTCTTCAGTAAGCTCTAAGAGGGAGGGACCTAGCATTGTATCTGGCCTGTAATAAAGATTATAATATTTGATGTATAAATGAATTTATTTAATGTTTCAGGAACCTTCTTTTCTCTAGTTTTTTTTTTCCCCCCTTGTGGAGAGATATTCACTAATTTATCCCCAGGGAAGAAGTGAAAGATTTCACTGGTGAATGTAGTAGAAGGAGCTAGGTGAGTGTAGCTCAGATTGTATGAGTTTAGCTCAGATTATACCTTTTCTTCTCACTTGCTGAGAGCACACATCCTATTCTCTTCTCCTATGCAATAAATCCATACTGCAGGAGACAGGCTGCTTATCTTGGGTAGGTAAATCTGTTTAATTCAGGGGTAAAATATTAGCAAGCTTACCTGCCCATAAACCTGAAATTTTTCTGCAGTTCATCTTTACTAGTAATGTGGTCTGTATCTTGATCTTTAGGTGTCTGACTTATGTTTCCTTTTTTTTTTTTTTTTCCAAAAAATGTTATTGACTTAAACTCTATCTTAAACTCTATCTAAAAACTAAAAAATTATTTATAAAAAAATCAGAATTGCCAACTACTATTTAGGAAAAAAAGTTGTAACATATATGGCAGAGAAAAGTTGCTATCATTAAAACATAAGGAGCTCTTACAAGTCCATAAGAGAAGAATTTAGTGTGATAGAAAACCAAGCAAACATAGCCTGCAACTCACAGAAAAAGAAAATACAAATAGCTAGTAATAACAGCTGTCATTCATTGAATTTAACTGCGTTCTATGTCCTTAAGAATTTACAGGCATTATCTTGTTTAATCTTTCAGCCCTGTAACATAATTATTTCTTTTTTTCATTTTACTATAACAAACACATAGTGTTTATTTTGTGCTAGGTGCTCTCTAAGCATATTACTCACATTCTACCCATTTTATAGATGAGGAAGCAGACATGAAGAGTTTAGCCATTTATGTAAATAGTTGAGCCAGTCTTTGAACTCAGGAGGTCTGACTTTAGATCCTTTGTATTTTTAACTACTACTCTATACTGCTTCACTATAAAACAAATATAATGCTTTCTTAGTCTTATTTTATTTCCAAATTTCAAAAACAGTACACAATCATACTAACAAATGTGAACAGTGCAACAGTGTATAAAATAAAAAATAATTATTTTATTTGCACTCCTAAATTTAAAGGTAACAGCTATTGACAGGTTGGTATGCATTCTTCAATATGTTCAAGAAAGGAAATTTTTTAAAATGAGTACTGTTTTTCTGTGTAAAGCATATGTATGTGTTATTGGTTTTTAAAAACCTTTAACATACTACTGGCAAGTATATGGGGAGTAAGCACTTTGGTATACTACTGATGAGAGTATGAATTAGTACAATATATCTGGTGGAAAATTTGACAGTGTCTTTTGAAATTTTAAATATGCTTATCTGTTGTTTTTTAAGAAACTATTTCTAGGAAAAATAGATCAAATGCCCAAAAATGTTTAAGATGCATGCATAAAGATAAGAATATACACTGCAAGGTTTATAGTACTATTTTTTTTTTTTTAACCCACCGTTGGGAACAGCCCTTGTCTAAACTGTACGGGTTTGGAGAATTAGTGTGTTACCATATAGTGAATTAAATAATAGTAGACTTACAGTTGATTTTTTTTTCTTGTAAGATACATCAGAATAGATTTTAGATTAAAAAATGTTACTACCCCCTTAAGAAATCACAGTTCCCTGAAGTCATAGTCTCTACATTGAAAATCACTATAAGGAGATGTATACAGAACTTATCGGTATAGCACCTGATACTCAATAAATATCTGACATTATTACTATCTCTGTTTCTCCACAGCTAACGTTTTTTGGTAATCTGAGATAAAAACATTATAAAACAGAGTACCTCCACAAAGCAACATATACCATATTAACTATCAAAGGTTTGTGAAAGAGCATGTGGGTGGCTCAGTCAGTTAAGCATTTGCCTTCAGCTCAGGTCATGATCTCAGGGTCATGGAATTGAGCCTTCCGTTGTATCAGATTCCCTGCTCACTGGGGAGTCTGCTTCTCCCTGTGCTCCCCACCAACTCATGCTCTCTCTCGTATTCTCTCAAATAAATAAATAAAATCTTAAAAAAAAAAAAAAAGTTTGTGAAAGACCAATTCTTAGAATCTGCAGACATAAATACCCTCCAGGTATTCTGGTTCTTTGTGAACTTGGGCAGGTCCCTAAACTTTTTTTTTTTAAAAGACTTTATTTATTTATTTGACGGAGAAATAGAGAGTGAGCGACAGAGGGAGAGGAAGAAGCAGACTCCCCACTGAGCAGGGAGCTCAATGCAGGACTCTATCCCAGGACCCCGGGATCATGACTTGAGCCGAAGGCAAATGCTTAACTGACTGAGCCACCAGGCGCCCAAGTCCCTAAATTTTTAAAATAACCTTCTCTCCCAAATGGAGGTATCAGCCAAAGTCCCAAACTGGGGGTTATTTTGAGGACCAAATGAGAACATATAAGTGTAAATTATTTGAAAAGTAAAGTGCTATGCAAACAAATTTAGGAAGCTGATTTTAAGCATATTACTAGTTAGATTGTTTGCTGACTAGTACAATGCCTAAAATCTACTGAGTATACATTTCTTAGTTACATAATTCTGAATTTATAAATTGTGTAGTTTCAGGGCACCTGCGTGGCTCAGTGAGTTAAAGCCTTTGCCTTCGGCTCAGGTCAGGGTCCCAGGGTCCTGGGATCGAGCCCCAAATCAGGCTCTCTGCTGGGCGGGACCTTGTTTCCTCCCCACCCCCGCCCCCACGCCTGCCTCTCTGCCTACTTGTGATCTCTCTCTGTCAAGTAAATAAATAAAATCTTTAAAAAATAAATAAATAAATTGTGTAGTTTCTTCCTGCATATTTGAAGTCTGATTTATGTATATTCATTTCATATGTAGGGTTTAAGCTTTTCACTTTTTCCCAGAATGTATTGTTATAGTGGAAAAATAATTATGAAAATTTATGTACATTTTTGTTCCTTTTATGTATTTTAGGAATGGAACATTACTAAACTTTCAATTGAGTATGATTCTGAGCCTTTTGGAAAGGAACGAGATGCAGCTATTAAGAAACTGGCTACTGAAGCTGGAGTGGAAGTGATTGTACGAATTTCACATACATTATATGACCTGGACAAGTAAGTTTTTCTTCTTTTATTTTTATGGTATAATACACATAATATTTGTTGTCTCAGCCATTTTTAAGTGTACAGTTCAGAGGTGTTAAGTACATGGACAAGGGTGCACCTGGATGACTCTGTTGGTTAAGTGTCCAACTCTTGATCTCAGCTCAGGTCTTGATCTCAGGGTCATGAACCCAAACCCTACATTAGGCTCCACCCTGGGCATTTAAAAAAAAGTACATGGACAAGTAAGTTTTAACCTGTGGGATTTCAGTTTTTTAAAATGAAGTAACAACATATACATAATACAGTTGTGGGAGAATTAAATAAATATGTTAGACCCTTAGCATTTTATTTAACTGCTCTGATTTTTTACTTAGTGACAGATGCCAAAATTACAGATGTGTGAGTGCATAAGACAAAAATATTTAGAGTCTCAGTTTCAAACTGTTAAGAGTATCACTAAATTTACCTTGACTGTCCTAACTCAGCCTGTGGTCTTGCCTTTGTGAGCTTTTAGCAATATTAATTTCATAGTTTATATGACATGAAACCATGAAATGCTGTGATACATTTAGTATGATTGTCTGAAGTTTTTTTATTTCTTGTGTGTTAGTCTTGTCTATCTGTATTTTAAGTCCAGTTGCAAATTGTGTGTAATACTATTTTGTGAAGCCATAGTCCTTTGAACAACAGCATACTATCTTACTTTTTAAAATGTATTTCTTGAAATATCATCTCTTGGTGATGCTTTGTCCAAAAAAGATTATAGTTTAAATTTAGGAGTTATTATATGCTTTGAGTTTTGAAGTTTCACAAGATTTATTAACGTAGTAACTTTTGCCTTTTAAATTATTTTGCTTTTAGTTATTTCCTCATTTTATCGAGTTAGTAAAGCCAATTCTATAAGTTATATGACAGACTAGTTAATTTTATTCTATTTTTCCAAATGTATGAAAAAACTGTGGTTTGATTTCAGGCAGTGGTCTTATTTCCTATTAAGTCGAAGTCATATATCCCTTGAAAATAAACTTGCCTTCTAGTTTACCAGTTTTCTTAACTTCAGGAAGCTGATATCAAGAAGGAAGTGTATTGGGGGTAGGTTTGGGGGTGGGACTTTCCCTTTTTCCCTTCTAACTTCATGGCTGGTCTAATAATTAAATTGACTTAAGACAGATTAACAGGAGAAAAATAAATTTAATTCATATATCCAAAAAAAATTCATATATCCAGGTTATGAGACTCAAAGAAGTGAGCAAAGCAGGCAGCTTTTAAATCTCTTAGACAAAGAAACAATAAGTGAAGAAATGCCAAGACACTTAAGTAAGTTTGAGTTTAGGGTAGCAAATGTATGAAGTTTATATAGCCTTCTTAGGCCTGAATTCCCTGTCTCTGATGATGAGGATACCTTTTATTCTCCAGGTTCTAGGAGAGTGCCCTTCACATAGGGAACTTATTTCTTGCTTTCAGGGGGACAGAGCAGGCTCAGAGTGTCCTTCTTATACGGACTGTTTCTTAAGTAACTTTAATTCAAAGTAATCAATATGCCAAAGTGATAATATTTTCGAGTGGCCTGTCTCAAACCCCATGAGAGACAAAATAGGTAAGAGCAGTTGCATCCGAGTGGGAGATTTAGTGTTATGCATATAATTGGATTGTTTAGTGGATTGAATGTGAATATTTACTATATATAATTCATCATATAAAAATGTAACGTACAGAAAACATTTTTCTCAGGTTTTTATTTTGCTTAAGTCATGTAATTAGCAGTGTCAATAATATCACTGCAGTATCACTGTCTATAAGTTTCATTATGCCCCTGTGTATAAACTGTGTATTACACTGAAACAAAATTACTAAAAGCAGAGAGGATAGTTCTTGTGGTATTACAATTACATAGAAATTATAATTTATATGTAATTCTATGTATTATAATGAAAAATGTACTTTTAAAAAAAATTTTTCATCATGATAAAAGTGTACTCTTTAATCTCCATCACCTATTTACCCCATATCCCGCTTCACCTCCCCTCTGGTAACCCTCAGTTTGTTCTCTGTAGTTAAGTGTCTGTTTCTTGATTTGTCTTTTTTTGCCCCCTTGCTTGTTTGTTTTGTTTCTTACATTCCACATATGAAGTCATTTGGTATTTGTCTTTCTCTGACTAAGGTATTCCACTTAGCATCATACTCTCTAGCTCTATCTATATTTGTTGTTGCAAATGGCAGGATTTCATTCTTTTTTTTTAAAAGATTTTATTTAGTTAGTTGACAGAGGGAGAGAGATCACAAGTAGGCAGAGAGGCAGGCAGAGAGACGGCGGGGGGGAAGCAGGCTCCCTACTGAGCAGAGTCTGATACAGGGCTCGATCCCAGGACCCTGAGATCATGACCTGAGCGGAAGGCAGAGGCTTAACCCATTGAGCCACCCAGGCACCTTGATTTCATTCTTTTTTATGGCTGAGTAATATTCCAGTGTGTGTGTGTGTGTGTGTACACATATGTGTGTGTATGTACACATATGTGTGTGTGTTTACACACATACATACAAACCACATTGTCTTTATCCATTCATCTATTGATGGATACTTGGACGGCTTTCGTAGTTTGACTGTTGTAAATAATGCTGCTATAAACATAGGGATGCATGTATCCCTTTGAATGAGTGTTCTTGTATTTTGGGAGTAAAAACCCAGTAGTGCAATTACTGGATCTTAAGGTAATTCTAACTTTTTGAGGACCCTCCATACCATTTTACACAGTGATTGCACCAATTTGCATCCCCACCAACAGTGCAAGAAGGTTTCCTTTTCTCTACATGCTCACAAACATTTGTTGTTTCTTGTGTTTTTAATTTTAGCCATTCTGACAGGTATGCATTGGTATCTCATTATCGTTTGATTTACATTTCCCTGATGATGAGTGATACTGAGCATCTTTTCATGTGTTTCTTGGCCATCTGGATGTCTTCTTTGGAAAAATATTCATGTGTTCTGCCCATTGGTTTTTTTTTTTTTAAGATTTTATTTATTTATTTGACAGACAGAGATCACAAGTAGGCAGAGGCAGGAAGAGAGAGAGAAAGGGAGGCAGGCGCCCTGCTGAGCAGAGAGCCTGATGCGGGGCTCGATCCCAGGACCCTGGTATCATGACCTGAGCCGAAGGCAGAGGCTTTAACCCACTAAGCCACCCCTGGCGCCCCAATTCTGCCCATTTTTAATTGGATTATTTTGGGGGTGTTGAGTTTTATAAGTTCTTTATAGATTTTGGATACCAACCCTTTATCAAATATGTCATTTGCAAATGTCTTCTCCCATTCAGTAGGTTGACTTTTAGTTTTGTTGATTGTTTCCTTTGCAGAAGCTTTTTATTTTGATGTAGTCCCAGTAGCTTATTTTTGCCTTTATTTTCCTTGCCTGAGGAGACATATCTAGAAAAATGTTGCTGCAGCTGATGTCAGAGAATTGTATATTGTATATTCATTCTTCCTTTGTTGATAATTAACTGACCATATGTAATTGTGGGTTTATTTCTGGGTTTTCTGTTCTGTTCCACTGACCTATATGTGTGTTTTTATACTAGTACTATGCTGTTTTAATTACTACCACTTTGTAATGTAATTTGAAATTTGGAATTGTGATACCTCCAGTTATGTTTTTTCTTTTTCAAGATTGCTTTGGCTCTCCAAGGTCTTCTGTGGTTCCATATAAACTTTAGAATTGTCTGTTCTAGCTCTAGGAAAAATGCTATTGATATATTTTTTTAAGATTTTATTTATTTATTTGACAGACAGAGATCACAAGTAGGCAGAGAGGCAGGCAGAGAGAGAGGAGGAAGCAGGCTCCCCGCTGAGCAGAGAGCCTGATGTGGGGCTCGATCCCAGGACCCTGGGATCATGACCTGAGCCAAAGGCAGAGGCTTTAACCCACTGAGCCCCCCACGTGCCCCAATGCTATTGATATTTTGATAGGGGTTGCACTAAATGTGTATACTGCTTTGAGAAGTGTACAAATTTTTTAATATATTTTGTGTTAATTTTTTTAGGTTTGTTTATTTATGTAATCTCTACACCCAACGTGGAACTCCCCTCCCCCAACATCAAGAACTGCACATTCTTTTCACTGAGCCAGCCAGGCACCCCATCAGTATTTGTTTTTTTAGCCATGAGTATGGAGTGTCTTTCCATTTCTTTGTGTTCTCTTGAATTTCTTTTGTCAGTGTTTTATAGTTTTTAGAGTACAAGTCTTTCACCTCTTTGGTTAAGTTTATTCCTAGGTATTTTATTTTTTTGGTGCAACTATAAATGAGATTGTTTTCTTAATTTCACTTCCAAATGCATCTATGAGGCCAGTATCAGCCTGGTACCAAACCAGATAAAGACACCATAAAAAAAGAGAACTATAGGTCAGTATCTCTCATGAATATAGATACGAAGATCCTCACAAAATACTAGCAAACTGATTCCAACAGTACATTGAAAATGAGGAGGGAAATATAAAGTATCTATAAGATACATATACTGACATATTTAACAAAGGCATGATGAGCACAACAGAAAGTTGCAAGTGATTATCACTATAGTATATAACATAGAGTATATAGTATGTAGAATCCTAATTAATAAGACTTGCTTTGTTGCTTCTCATTATAATACTGGTCTGGTTTGTTTTTTACTGATTATTAAGAGATTCTTTGAACTGAGTTTAATATGTTTTTACTTTTTCACATATATTATTTTTATGTTACTGTCTTTTGGCTAACTTAACCACTTGTTTTTTCACTCATGGTGCTTAATAATACCCTTTGTCTTAAAGGTATTGTTATTTGCATGCTGTATATTTTTGACACATAGCAGATGTCTAGAAAATGAATGGAATTATTTTTTAGATTCACTAGCTATTTTAATAAGTTTCCTGATCATATGAGAAGCTTATATCCTCCTGGAAGTCTTAAGTAATTAACTTTGTTTTTTGATTTTAAGCATTTTCAGAAGTTATCAATCAAAATATATTATCATTTTTTAATACTAGCTGCATTTTACTAACTATTTTTTTTTATTTGCATTTTACTAAATTTATAATAGGATCATAGAACTCAATGGTGGACAACCACCTCTTACTTATAAAAGATTCCAGACTCTCATCAGCAAAATGGAACCACTAGAGATGCCCGTAGAGACAATTACTTCTGAAGTGATAGAAAAGTGTACAACTCCTCTGTCTGATGACCATGATGAGAAATATGGAGTCCCTTCACTAGAAGAACTAGGTAGGTGTAAATGAAGCTTGAGAGTTAATAAACCACTGAGAAAATCTCACTTCTGATTTGATATGTAAAGTATTTTGCATTAAGAGGGAAAGAAAGGAGAAAAAAACTTAATCTCTTATACTAAGAAGTAATAAATCTATATATTATGTGTTCTATAAATGTGATGTATCTGTTAATCACCTTAAGATGTTTGTCCTAAAGAACAGAGACCCTATTATGTCCTTATATGTGAAGACCTATCTAGGGCCATAAGTTCATATCTATGCTACTGTTGTAATTTTTCTGTGAAGTAGTTTTCCCAATTATTGTGGTTCATAAAAAATTATTTTAGTTCCAGAAGAATATTTTTTTCTTTTTTCTGTTTTTGTTTTGTTTTGTTTTGTTTTGTTTTTTTAGGTTTTGATACAGATGGCTTGCCCTCTGCAGTATGGCCAGGCGGAGAAACTGAAGCACTTACACGTTTGGAAAGGCATTTGGAAAGAAAAGTATGATAATATAGATCTTGCTTGTATTTCCAAACTGACATTTAAAAAATAATTTCACTCTTTTTAAAAACAAAAAATAGACTATTGAAAAGAAGAATTGAGAGAAATAGTTAAAATAACATAAACCTTAATTGTTTGAAGATTAATAACCATCTCCTCATTTAAATATTTTTTCTTCCTCCACTGATTATTTCCTCTTTAGCTACTACCAATACCATCTCTTCTATTCTTCCTATGTATGCTGGTTTATCTGATGACCGTATCTTTGAAGCTAAGATAAAGTTCTTCTATTTCACCTTGAGCTCAGTGTCAGGGAGACAGGTTGGAAGTGCTCTTAGCTTGGTGTTAGGAATTTGAGGTTAATTTATTTCATAGGAGTATGTGTTACACAAGGATGGCTGAAACAAAAGAATGCTCATTTTTATTCTGTTGTGTTTCTTACTAAAACATGTTTGTGACTGGGGTAGTAAAATTTTATTCCCCAAGAACTATGTAACTTTAAAAAAAAACAGGTCAGTTTTAAACACTCTTTTTAAATGGAAAAGGCAGTTAGCTAGCATAATTCTCTCTCTGTTTCAGGCTTGGGTGGCAAACTTTGAAAGACCTCGAATGAATGCAAATTCCCTGCTCGCTAGCCCTACTGGACTCAGTCCTTATCTCCGATTTGGTTGTTTGTCATGTCGACTGTTTTACTTCAAACTAACAGATCTATACAAAAAGGTATTACCTAAAACTGAAGCTTACTTTTCAAAATACTTCTTTAAAAATTGCTGTTACTACTTTTTTGCTTTTTAACTTTAGGTAAAGAAGAACAGTTCCCCTCCACTGTCCCTTTATGGACAACTGTTATGGCGTGAATTTTTCTATACAGCAGCAACAAATAATCCACGCTTTGATAAAATGGAAGGAAATCCCATCTGTGTTCAGATTCCTTGGGATAAAAATCCTGAGGCTTTAGCAAAATGGGCAGAAGGCCGGACAGGTTTTCCGTGGATTGATGCCATCATGACACAGCTTCGTCAGGAGGGTTGGATTCACCATTTAGCTAGACATGCAGTGGCTTGCTTCCTGACCCGAGGTGACCTGTGGATTAGTTGGGAAGAAGGAATGAAGGTGAGTATTCTTCTAACTAATGTAGCACAGTCTTATTTTGAGTCTATACCTTATTAAAACAATTCCTAGAAATTGTCTGTTACTTAGATTCATTTATAGTCTAATTTTTTCCAGCAGGTAAAGAATTTAATTCCCTAATACAGGCACACTCTTGGAGAGCAGAAATGGTGTAATCAGACAGGAGAAATGGTGATAACTGCTTTGATTAATCTCAAGTCATTTCAGAGACTGAACCAGCCTACCCATCAAGGGAACTATAAGATTTAACACTCTGGACTCATTGGATTACATATTTATAAGTGATCATTTCTGTTACAAAAGAGGATTTACCCAAGAATTCTTAGAAATAGTAAATTTACATTATAAAACTTAAAATATATATAATTTGCCTCACTTCAGTATCATAACTTTTTAATGATTTGTTATGTAAAGTGAAGCATATTACATTTTGAGACATCATCTTATGGTTATATATAACAGGACTCGTTTTACCTATCTGCCTATATCATAGATGTCCCCTATCCAAGGACCATTTCCAATCCTTTTTTTTTCTTTTGTGTCTCTGGTATTTCCTAATACAAAGTTTTACTTGAAGTAAATGTATAGTACAGACTTAATGAATTTATAAAAAGGCATTTAAAGTCTGATTCCCTTTTGGTCAAGGAATTTAAACTCTGTAATGCTAGTGCTTTTTTTTTTTTAATCTTTTGCTTTTTCGCTAATGCATTTTAAGTCATTTATATTTGGGTGCTCCCTATATGTAGGGGAGTGTACCAAGCTTCTCAGTTTTTGTTAGTGATTTATTTGGTTACATCTTTGCTTTCTTGAAAGTGTTTACTGCTTTTTTTCTTCCATTTTTTAATTGAATCAGTGACTTGACTGATTATTTTACCCTCCCCCATAACACTGCAAAGACTAGAAAGAAGAATTCACTTATATTACTGATATTTTTCTTTCTCTGAAATAACTCATTATAGAACAGAATATTAACAAGGAGCCCACTTTGGAATGTTTAGTTTTACAGTTCTGTGCTAGATTTTCTTTGCCTTGACTTTTGATCTACAGAGACCTGGAAAATGCTTGCTTTGAGAATTATATGTGTACAAACTAATTGGTTACTGTTACTTCTGAAGGTATTTGAAGAATTATTGCTTGATGCAGATTGGAGCATAAATGCTGGAAGTTGGATGTGGCTGTCTTGTAGTTCCTTTTTCCAACAGTTTTTTCACTGCTATTGCCCTGTTGGTTTTGGTAGGAGAACAGATCCCAATGGAGACTATATCAGGTAAATCAAGGGTGATTATTATTCAGTTTGGAATAACTAATCCAGGAAGAGCTTTTCATGTTTAAGCAACACTTAAGGTGTTCCCCACTCATGATGGGCAGCAGAGATGAGGAGATGGGTAAATAAATCATTAAATGGTTTTGACTTGATTTTGGTCATTCATAGCTAATAATTAGTTATAATTTGCTTGTAGGTCATTTTATTTATAATTTTTCTTCCTTCTCCCAAAAGACGTTATTTGCCTGTCCTAAGAGGTTTCCCTGCAAAATATATCTATGATCCCTGGAATGCACCAGAAGGTATCCAAAAGGTAGCCAAATGTTTGATAGGAGTTAATTACCCTAAACCAATGGTGAATCATGCCGAGGCAAGCCGTTTAAATATTGAAAGGATGAAGCAGATCTATCAGCAGCTTTCACGATATAGAGGACTAGGTATGTCGGTAATTAACTTTGGTTTGTTTCTTCGGGAGGTGTTTATGTATCTATCCTTGAGTTTGATCTTGGCCATAATTTAATAGGAAAATTTTTCCCTTTAGGTCTTCTTGCATCAGTGCCTTCTAATCCTAATGGGAATGGAGGCCTCTTGGGGTATTCTCCTGGAGAAAATATTTCAGGTTGTAGCAGCAGTGGAAGTAAGTGAAAAGGAAATTTCTATACTTTGCAACATAAAGAGATTAATAATCAAATATATTTTTTATTAAATCTCACTATAATATTTTTTCTCCATACATGTATACACACACACACACATACACACACCCACACACACACCTGTCATTCCATTAGTGACATTTTGTAGATGGAAAACATCATTACATGTAGTAGAATTTAGCTCAAGGTAAAGATCTTACAAACTGAATGAGGAGGACAATTTTTTTTTTAAGATCTTGTTTATTTATTTGACAGACAGAGATCACAAGTAGGCAGAGAGGCAGACAGAGAGAGAGGGGGAGGCAGGCCTCCTGATGAGCAGAAAGTCCGATGTGGGGCTCGATCCCAAGACCCCAGGATCATGACCCGAGCCGAAGGCAGAGGCTTTAACCTACTGAGCCACCCAGGCGCCCCGAGGAGGACAATTTTAAGGGTAGAATGAAACTCAGATATCCCTTCTGAAGGCTCATTTTTTTTTTACTTTTTTACTTTTATGTATAAGGTAAATAGTTAAGGTTTAGTGGTCCTATGAATATGGCCAAAAGGTTTATCATACACATGCATGGGGCCTTTAGCTTTTTGCACATGAGTTTTTCCTTCCAGTCTTGTTTGTAGTGGTTTTCCATATGATATATACTTAATTGCCACCTATATTCTTAATGTGTGATATTAATAATGTCAAGGAGCCAGTACTGGAAATTTGAATCATTGTATCAGTTTTCAAGGGCTCTAACCAAAAATAACATGAGGCTAATTAATTTGATTAATTAATTAATTAAATGCCTCAAGGCATTTGAGGAATGCTTACTTTTTTTTCAAAAAAGTCACATTTTTAAAAATTGATATTAAGAACAAAACCTTTAAAAAATTGAGCCTTTCTGATTCAGAAATACTCTGTATCCTTTTGAGAGCATATACTTTTTTTTTCTTCAACAATTAGATTAAGGAGAAAGGAACAAAGCACTCACATTTTGACTATCTACTTTATGCCCAATATAAGGAGATTTTTGCCACATTCTGAAGTATATCCTTTTATGCCCTCTACTTACTCTGTTTGTAGACTTTCATAGTGTCTCACAAGGTATATCAAAGGGCAAGATTATTTATAACTTGTACACAGATGACTTGAAGTATTTCTGTTCTTATAATAAAGCAAACCATAATCTATTTATGATAGTAATGTTTTAGTTTTTATTTTTTTCTATTAAAAATACCTGTTCAGCATTATTAGTCAGTAGGGAAATGCAAATAAAACCACTAAGAGGCTTCCCACTTAGGGTAACCAACTGTCAATGATTACCTGGAATTGAGGGATTTCCTGAGACATGAGACTTGCAGTGCTAACACTTGAAAAATCCCTGTTAAACTGGGATGACTTAATTACCCTGTACCCACTCTAGTGCCTAAAAAATGACAGACAATAAGAGTTGCGGAGGATGTGAAGAGCCTGGAACCCTCATATGTTGTGAGTGGTGGTCTGTAAAATGGTACAGCCACTTTGGGAAATAGGTTGGCAGTTTCTTAAAAGCTTATAAACTTAACATAAAACCCAGAAATTCCATTCCTAAATATCTGTCCAAAAGAAAAAACATAGATCTACACAAAGACAAGAATCATAAGAATGTTTATGATGGCTTTATTTATAATAGTCAAAATGTGGCACATCCGTGCAATGGAATACTAATCCATAAGAAGGAATAAAATGCTGGTACTTGCTACCACATGGATAGACCTCAAAAATACTATGTTAAGTTAAAGAATCCATACATAAAAGACCACATATTGCACAATTCCATTTGTATGAATTATGCAGAAAAGGCATGTCTTTAAAATAAAGTAAGTTAATGGTTACCTTAGGTTTAGGGTAGGAATGAGAATGAATGCAAATGGGCATGAAAGTGTTCTAAAACTGGATTGTGCTGATGATGACACAACTCTGTAAATTTACTAAAAATTATTGAACTGTGTACTTAAAATAGCTGAATTTTATGTAAATTGTACCTCAAAACTGCTTAAAAAAAAACTATTCACTATATACAATTTAGGAAATTCAGAAAAATAGAAAAGAAGAAAAATAAAAATCACCCATAATTCCATCCAGCAGAGATAGTCACTATTAAAATTTCAGTATATTTCCTTTGAATATATTTTCTATGCAGTTTTCTCCCCACAGTACTTTAAGTTAGAATTTTTTTTACAGATTTTTTTTATTGATTTGACAGAGAACATGCATAAGCAGAGGGAGGGGTAGAGGGAGAAGCAGTCTCCCACTAAGCAGGGAGCCCTATGTGGGGCTCCATCCCAGGACCCTGAGATCATGACCTGAGCCAAAGGCAGACACTTAACCAACCTAGGTACCCAGGCACCCCTAAGTTAGAATTTTATGAGTGAAAAACCCTTTTGGTGCTGTTGGCAGTATAACATAAGAAGAGTGTGATCATACAAACTTTTGCCCTTAGAAAAATGTGGGATTTTTAAAACAAGAAATATGAGGTGTTTTTTTTTAAGTTTTCATTCTAAGATTCTTATCTCATGTAATCTTGGCATGTGAAATTTAACTACTGTAGTGTCCCTAAAGACATGATGAATATGGGAATTTCTGATTTTTCTGAGTACCTAAGCTAGTCATTAGCCAATTGATTTGGCAAAGCTCTTTTCTCTGCTCATTGTCTCTTGTACTGTTATTCTTGTGAAAATATAATTTACTGCATTTTTTAAAAGAATTTTTTTGATGGAGAGCACAGCAGGGGGAGCAGCAGGCAGAGGGAGAGGGAGAAGCAGGCTTGCAGAGCAGGGAGTCCATTGCGGGGCTCCATCCCAGGACCCTGAGATCATGACCTGAGCTGAAGGCAGACACTTAACAACTGAGCCACCCAGGCGCCCCAGTTTACTGCATTTTTATGGGGAAGTTATAGGCAGTTGAGATATTCATGAATTTAGGGCACAGGAAGATTTTAGGTGCCTGCTTATCATTTAACTCTCTAAAGGAATAAGATGCTATCTTAAGGAAATTCTGTATATATTTATTGAGCTTATTAACCCTCTCCCATCTTCAAAAGTAATCATTCTCCTGATTTCTATTTTTTCCCTCTTTTGAACTTTATAAAAATCTTATAGTTTGTATTCTTTTTTGTGTCTGGCTGCTTTCACTCAGTATTTTTTTGTTTATGAGATTATTCTCATTTATCTTAGAACAGGAAGAGGAATAAAATTAATGGAGTTGAGAAAATGAGGTGACTAGTCTGTTATTTAGAGCCTACCTCTGTGAATCTTCCAGTAAAATTGACTTTTCCTTCCTCAGTGTCCTCACTGTATGCTGTAACAACTTCCATCCCAGAACCATTATATTACTTACTTGTACTTAGTGATTTTATGTATCTGTCACCTTCTACTTGGACTGTGAGCCCCTTGAAGATAAGACCTCATGTTTTTGTAATATTTGTATCCCTAGGACCTAGTATAATCTCTAGCATAAAGGAGCACTCAACAGTTGTATTAGGTATGACTAAATACAATAATTGAAAATATATTTTTTGAAGTTTCCTTTTTTTTGTTTGTTTCCTTTCCTTTTTAAAACATTTATTTTAGAGAGAGAGTGTGTGCATGAGTAGGGGGAAGGACAAGGGAGATGAGAATCCCAGGCAGACTCCCTGCTGAGTGGGGAGCCTGATGCCCGTCTCGGTCCCGAGATCATGAACCAAACTGAAACCAAGAGTCCAATACTCAATCAGCAGAACCACCTAGGCGCCCCTACTGAAGTTTTCTTGATTGCAAAATATATGTAACATAAAACTTAGCATTTAACCGTTTTAAATGTACAATTCAGTGGAATTAAGTACATTCACAATGTTGTGTGAAGTTTTAAATAATTTGTGCAATAATGGAAGACAACAGTTATCACTATTAGGGGACACTCTGCTGATGGTGAAACCAGGAGTAGCACCATTCAGTGGTGAGTGTGCTGTAGTCCAGAATCTGACCTTCAACAAGTCCAAGAACTGAGTGTTTTTAGTGTAATTAGAGGTGACCATCCTGTAAATGGCAGACTAGAAGTTTAAAAGTCAGTTAAGCATCCGACTCTTGATTTTGGCTCAGGTCATGATTTCAGGGTCATGAGACTGAGCCCTGCATCAGGCTCCAACTGGTTGTGGAGCCTGCTTAAGACTCTCTCTCTTCCTCTGCACCACCCCCAAATACAAACATATACACACCCACACACAAACACATGTACACACATACACACCACCCATGTGATATAAAATAGCAGGGATGTGTGGGTGGCTCAGTCAGTTAAGCATATGCCTTTGGCTCAGGTCATGATCCCAGGGTCTTGAGATCGAGTCCTGCATAGGGCTCCTTGCTCAGCAGGGAGCCTGCTACTCTCCCTACTTGTGCTCTCCCCCCCCTTTCTCTGACAAATAAATAAAATGTTCAAAATATATATATCAACAGGGAACACTAGTTTATTATTTATGGTGGAGGTATCCCTTTCCAGTGATAGAAGCCCTCATCCCTGATCAGGGCATTCACTTCCCCAATTCTCAGTACCTAAAAAGCTGAATTCTTTATCCAGAGGAACTTGATGAGCATGAAATTACAATAAAAAAAAAATAAGTAGATTGCCTTACTCAGACCATGAGGTGACTTGGGTGTAGGGGCTAGAATGTTCACATTTGTCCATTACCTGGACACACTAACAAAAATGTTTCTCTAGAACCTACTTTCTGTGCCAACCCCCTCTCCTATAACATTGTTTCTTTTTGGAAGGATTAATGTAATTGCTTAGGCTAGGTAACTGCCACATTGTGTTTCCTCCTCTTTGTGTTAATTGAATAGTTTAATTCTCATCTGGAAGGCCCTTACTCACTTACCTCCAAGGACATATGTTTTGGACAGGCACTGTGGGAAGAATGTGGAATAAAGGGACAAGAGGTAAAGGAGGATGTGTATTTCACTGTTGATTTATATTTTGCTTCCATGGTCAAGTGTCTAATTGTTATTCAGTAAAGAAATGTTTTTTAGAAAATGATTATCAGTGATTTTGCCTTTGAACCAAAAGTCAACATTTCTATGACCCTAAGTTTAAATTTTCCTGATTTGGACTTGTGACTTTTTGTTCTTATGAAGGATTGAGGTTTAGTCCTAAAAAGCATAAATGACCTTAATACAATTACTAAAAACTAGATTTGTAGTCTTAATACATAAGATTTGGGGTTTAAGTAATTTTACTGTGTTTTAAATACTAACAGGTTGCTCTCAAGGGAGTGGTATTTTACATTACGCTCATGGAGACAATCAGCAAACTCACCTATTAAAGCAAGGTAAGAATGAAGCATTTGAGCATACTGTTCTTTTCACCTTCCTATCTTAAACATAATTTTTTTTAAATATGTAGGAAGAAGCCCCATGAGCACTGGTCTCAGCAGTGGGAAACGTCCTAGTGAGGAAGAGGACATGCAGAGTATCGGTTCTAAGGTCCAGCGACAGAGCACTAATTAGGTAAATACTTTAGACCTTTATTTCTTGCTTTAGTGTAGTGTGTAATCAATATAAATTAAGACAATTTCCAAAATGGGGCTTATCACATTTTTCAAACTACAGAAACTGAGCCTTAAATTTTTCAGTGATTATTATAAAATTAGTTAATTCTTAGACAAGAGAAGTGTGTCTCTACTGGGAAATTGCAGCACTTAGTTTTAAGATCACCCTAATTGATGACATTTAAATTTGAAAAAGTAATGATGTTGTGCTCAAGTTTTTTCTCAGAAAAAGACATCTTTTTAATTCCTTACTATACGACCTTGAGTCTAAAACAATTAAAGTGACTTTTTATTTTAGTGGTATTATTAATCCCTTTATGAACTTTTCCCCAAATCTTTTCCTCTTAAATGTTTATAACTTTCTTTTATCTGTTGTGATACTTCTGAAATCTAAATTCTTTCCAGTTCTGGAATAGTTTGATTTTTTAAATATTGGTCCTTATTAGAGGTATCAAAAGGCCATGGCTATATTCAGTTGAATTGGATGTGGGATCCTATTTTTTGATTTAAGTTTATTTGAAAAGTATCTATAATAGTACATTTACCAGGTTTTAAAAACATACTCAGTTATCTTAAACTGTTGGCATTTTTTAAATTACTGCTAACTATATTTATCATGGTGACCATTGACTAACATACAGAATTGTTGAATCAGTATGATGTACACCAGAAACTTAATATAATATTGTCTGTCAGTTATACTTCAGTAATAATATATATATGAACAGCAATAATAAAAAGTAAAATAAAAAATATAAAGTTTTTTAAAATTACTGTAGTTCTTAGCACCAGCCCTAATTAGACTGTACATTTCTTAAAGATAAGATCAGTAAATACTCATCAAATTTTTATCATTTAATTCCTTGCAATCAAACTTTACCCCATTTTTTTTCCCCCTTAAATCACAGAAAACATTCAGGAGGAATACTGTTGCAGCTGAAATTGGTGGGGAGTTCACTACTTTTTTCAGTTAAATTATTTTAAAATGTTCTTCATTGATGGAAAGCAGTTACATTTTGAAATGCATTGTTTCTAATGACATTTCTGTAGTTTTAAACTTTTTAATGAACTTCATGTAGGACAAATGATAATTTGTATATAAAGAACTTGGTAAAAATTTTGCTTAATGTAAATATAGTCACAATTAATATAGACCCATCAATATATTTTTGATAATTTTTCATGTATGGTAAAAGTTAAAGTGGCAAACTGATATTCTGATATACAAACTGAAGTTTTGAAAGTCGATGTGGGAAAATAGGAGGTTTTTAGACTTTCTTAAAAGACTTTGTTAAAATTTTAGGACAAAATTTTCTTGACATCATTGTTTGATCTAACTTTACACTCTTTGATAATGTTTTAGAAAATGTGCACAATCAAAATTGGTAGTTATAACCTCTGTTAACACAGACAATATATGTTTTAAATCTTCATGTATGCCTGTTTTGACCCAAATCTGTGGAAGTATCATGTGTTAAGTTCTCCTTGTCTCCTTTTGTTCATTTACAACTAAGTGACCTTGTTATTAAAGTATATGCATATATGGAATCTTGTGTACTTGGTGGTGGTTGTTTTTTCTTTTCTTTTTAAGTTTTTGTTTTAGGTAAGGGGGAGAGCATTGTTATAGGAGATGTGATTACAAATCAGAGACAGTCTGTAAACCACATGTAACCATTCTGAATTAAGGATCAGGTTCCACTTATTTTAGTAATGCAGTATTTTTCACAATTATTCCAAATAAGATTACCAACTTCCAAATGCTTTATACTTTTTATAATACCTATCTATCTGCAAGAAAGATATAAAACCAAAGTGGTTATTTCAGGTAATGAGACTTATAACTATGAGTTAGTTACTATAATTAATAATGTGGGCTCTGGAGTCAAAGACCTGGCTCTGCCACTCGTTCGAGATCTTGGGCAAGTTATTAACCTTATAGGGATAAGAGTAGTATCTGCTTCATACTACATATGAAATACTCATAACAGTGCCTGGCATGTGGCAGTTAGTCGATAAATGTTAGCTGCAAGGCTGCTGTGCTTTATAGATCCCTGGATCGTGCAGTGCATAGTCTGCCTAACTGTATGCTATAGCTGTGGTTAGCTGTTGTTATTCTCGTTACTATTATTATCCCATTCCTATCTCTTGTAGGCTAGTTTTTTCCTTTTGGAATTATAACCGGTGTTATTTTTTTTTTCCTTTTCCCCAGTCTTTAGTTGTGATAGATGTTCAGGGTGATAATTGTATTTAAAAGTAACTTAAGAATAATTTGAGTCTAAAATCCAAAAACAGTAACATATTTTTATATGATACACATTTAAAAAAGCATCCTGAATAATGAATTAACACTGAGTGATAAGTTCCATTACTTAGAAAAGAAAAAAAAATATGCGTTATCTATCTTCTTTTGCCACTGTTAATAAGGAGTGGTATCTTAATTGTTTTTCATGATGCTTATATTTACCAGTCAGTCTACTCTTTGGACCTGATTGTACCGTACAGCACTGAGAAATTCATAGACCTGGGACCATTCATCCAGGGGAATAGAAGATTCAGGGTTTTTTTGTGTTGTTTTGTTTTGTTTTTTAGCAGGCTTCATGCCCAGTGTGCAGCCGAATATGGGGCTTGAACTTATGGGCCTGAGATCAAGACCTGAGCAGAGATCAAGAGTCGAACCCCTAACAGACTGAGCCACCCAGGTACCCCTAAAAGATTCAGTTTTAGGGGCGTCTGGGTGGCTCAGTGGGTTAAGCCTCTGCCTTCAGCTCCGGTCATGATCTCGGGGTCCTGGGATCAGGCCCTGCATTGCATCAGGCTCCCTGCTCAGCGGGGAGCCTGCTTCCCCCTCTCTCTCTGCCTGCCTCTCTGCCTACTTGTGATGTCTCTGTCAAATAAATAAATAAAATCTTAAGAAAAAAAAGATTCAGTTTTAATGTAAATAAATATTTTAGTAAAAGAACATTGTTTCAGCATAGACACTGATATTTTACTTCGACATGTAGGGGGATTTTGGCTTTTAGGGGCTTTTGGGGAGGCTTTTTCACTTTGGTCTAAATTATAACTGAAAAGAATCACTGAAAGGGAAAGACCATTATCACTGTATTCCAGTTGAGCGGATGTTTGAATACAGTGTTTTTCCCCAACCAAAGGGTTAGTGTTCTGAAAATGCTGCTGGTGGTTGAGGGATTTAAGGTCTTATATTCTTTGAGGAAATATCAGTTGAAATCATATTAACAAAACCTGTTCTGTTCTGGCAAGTTGGAAAAATTGAGTTGAGGAAAGCAAACTTTTGAAAGAACCTACGTGAAGGTTTTATGTTTTTACACTCACTTGAAATAAATTAGTAAAATTGGGATATAAAAGACTGATAACAGTATGTTTTTAAGGCCTCTCTTAAGTACTAGAAGCTTCAAGATCTTGCCACAATTTCAAACATGTTTGTAATTTTCTTATAGGTAATATCCATAATACTGGCTTCTTTTCTCCATTTCTCCATCCAAGGTTTTTTTTTTTCCTGATTGCATGGCCTAGAAATTCACTAAATATTGGAATGGAAAAAACTAGGTCACATTTATTAATACAGTTGGCATAGCTGAATTGGTCAGTTTCAAGTTTTGATTACAATGTACAGGATCATATGTTTTACTATTTCTTACACAATTATGTGGAGCCCAGGTTCAAGCTAAGCTGCCAGCACCCTAGTGTACATGTCTGCTCCCTTCCTCCTAACCACAGCATGCAGTTCTAAAGTGCTTGAGTTTAGATTCCTCAACTGCCTTCTCTTCTCATATCCTACTCTAATTCCTTTTTCCTAAATGCAGTGAAACATTTTGGTTAATCCAGGCCTCAGATCCTTGTATTGCAGGAAAAAGTGTTCAATAAAGCCATGAATAATAGGATTTTTACATAAAGATAACTCAGAAGGAGAAGGGTTACTGACTAGCATCCCAGACCTCAGATACATTAGCTACTCATTTAATTTTAGAATGTCCTGGAGATCAAAGTTGATCTTGAAATAAAGAGCTAGGATTCTTGCTGCTACTCCATGTAATTAAAATGCAAATGTCAGGCCATCTCAAAAAGCCTGTTGAGCACAGACTATTAAGGCTAGACTCCAATTAACATTTCCTGGGTTCCTATAATGTGCCAAATATTGTTCAGAGGGAAAAAAAACCTGTAAATTTCCACAAGGGGTTCACAAAGAGGGGGCAGTCTGGAAGAATTACAGTGGTGTGTGTTCAAGCCATGTTAGAACTGTGCACAGTGTGTGCTGTGAAACATATGAAGGGAGAGATCTCCAGCCTGGGAAAATCCTAGCTTTCCCGATTCCCAGCTCTACCCAGGAATGTAGGACAACTAGGCAGGGTGGTGGCACCTATCTCTGGAAACATTTCACTCTAGTTGGGATTAATCATGTTATCCGTTGTTAATGTCTTTGTCCTTCACTGTCCTACATGTAAACTCCGTCAAGACAGGGAATGTACTTTATTCCCCCTTGTCTTGTCCACCGCTGTCTTCTCATTGCTGTTTCACATGCTTGGAACTTAATAGGCATACCATCAATATTTGTTGATTGATAGATAAATTAAGAATAAATGGGATAGACATTGAGACTGGCTTTAAGGAGAAAGCAGTTTATGAGGTTGGCATCAGAGATAATAATTAGAATGTAAACCACTGGTCAGTTTATCAGAAAAGGCAAGTATTTAGATGGAAGTGGCAGGGGGAGGTTTTTAAAGACATAACACAGTTGCTGACTACTGGGGCCGGGTGGAAGGGGCAGCAAGAAGGCTAGATATGTTCCCAGAGGTTTATTGTTTTGGAACTACATTTTTTTTCTTTTGTAAATTCTTTACCCATCGAATTATTTTGGGAGCTCTGAATGGCTATAGCTTAAAAATACAGCGGCTTCTGAGTTACTTTTACATTTTTTTCTTATGAGCTAGTGACGTTTCCCAAGAGACAAAACGACCGGAACTCCCAAGTTTTCTAAATGCCGGTAAGGAAAGGGTGTGGAAATGCCAGGCGCGTAATTGCGGCACCTGGCTCCGTTGCCAGGCAAGCTGATTCCCACGCTGGCCGGCCTCCGTCGCGCAGCCCCGCCTAACGTGAGGGTCGCGCAGCCTGCGTCCCGCACCTTGATTGGCTGCGTTGGGGCTGCGTCTGCGGGCTCACGGGTCTCCTGTGCCCTGATTGGCTGGGGGCTGGGACCACGCTGCGGAAGGGAATTCGCGGCCCTGTTGGGACACTAGTCTCGGGACCCTGACCCCTGTTCCCACGCCTCGGGAAGACGGCGGGCTACGGGAAACCTCGGCGGGGGGTGGGAGGAAGGACGGAACCAGGGACCCGGGACTCACTGCGTCTTGCACGGAGTGGACAGGTGAGTCGCACCCCTTTCTCCGCACCCCCGGGGTGGGCCTCACCAGCAACACAGCGGCCGACCGGCAGGGGTTGGGGGTCGCGCACCGAGAAACGGGACTCCCCGCCAGCTCGCTCAGCATGCCTGGCCTGGGCGTAGGTCAGAGGTTCTGGAAAAGCGCAGGCGCCACAGGATGGATACGTGGTTTTCGATCATTCCCCGAGATTTTCTTCCTTTCGGTCCTCATTTTTAATTGTTTATACACATTGGGGTTAATTTGAAACTGTCAGCGGATCGTGCATGTTATAAAGTAGAGCTTAATTGAATTGTTACCGATGTTGTAGAGCGTAGTGTGTAAAGTATGAATATTGCGCATATTCTTGAAGTGAACTTAACACTTCAAGAGTGCTTAAGGAACAGGATTATCTGGGAATAGACCATGTTGTGATTTAACAAACATTTGCCAAGTGTATTGCTGTGTAGGGCAAAGGGTAAGCGCTGTACTCTGAAGCCAAGATGTTGGGTTTGAATCCAAGGTCTGCTGCCTTTTGTTAGCTGAGCAGACCTTGGGGAGGTTACTTTACCTGCATCTGTTTCTTCAACTTTAAAGTCGGTCATTGTGGTGACTTTTCCGAGTACTCTGTAAGTGGTTTATGATATTAACTCAATTTAGTCTGAACAGGGACCCAGGATGTAGTGTCCCCATTTTCCTGACACTCCGGCTGAGGCATGGAAAAGCGATGTGACTTTCCCAAGTCCCAACATAACCAGTGACCAGGAATTAAGCCCGTGCAGACCACAGTTTTACACACTACCTTAGGTTGCCTCATGAACTGGATTTGTTCATTCAGTTTCAGTTGACAAATACTAACTTTGTTCCTCTGTGAACCAAGTTCTTTGCTGCGTACAGGGGACAGAGAAGAACAGGACTCAAACTCTGCCCTGCCAGCACTTGCAGTCTAGTACAGGTTGTTTGTAGCCGGGCTGCAGGTACCCGTGAATCCCAGTAAAATCTTTTCCAAAACGTTGTGAGTACAGGTCTTTTCTTTTTTGTTCTTTTTGGAAAGGGAGTCTGGGGCTCTCACCAGGTTCTCTAGTGGGTCTGAGTCCGAAAGTTATGAAGAAACATTTTGGCAGAAGAGCTGGAATCTGACGTAATGCCTGACAACACAGCATGAGCTTAAAAAAA